CCAATGCATATCTGAATTTATATCACATGCAGCGATTCCAAGGTATGGTTAATTTAACATACTCGGAATTTGAAAAAAAAATGAGCTAATTATGAAGTTATTGTTACTTTTTAAAACAAAATGAGTTGATTGTATAAATTTTTCCACAATAAATAGGATATATTATGACCGCGGGACATTTTTTGTTCCTACCTAAATTGTGATAGTCGTTGTTTTGGATTGCTTTAAAATGACGTCTGTCGCATGTATTACGTGTACAATACGTAACTCTATATTCCACTTTGCTGTCTTTCACGATATACTCCACCACATCTCTTTCTAAACAATTCTCTTCTAGAATCCAATTGTCATCTATTTCCTGTTTTTCTATTTTCACACATTCATATTTCATATCTTCGTGACGTGACCATTTTATTATACCAGTCTGGCCATTCAAATTAACTATTGGTTCACCTGTGTAAGTTTGTAAATATAGAGAGGTAGTGGTGACTGCCAAACATGGTACTATTTTTCAGCTTTCACTATGCCAATGAACTCATTATTGAAAGACACATTATAAATGCAATTCACGTATCTATAGTGGTCACTAATGCATTATCATGTTTGAAGTACACATAATATGAATTGTTTCATCGGGATATCATACTTACGATAAGTAAAAAACACATATGTAGTAGAAAACTGTCCGATTCCATACATGTCTTTGCTTTTATTTCATAAGTAGTTGACGGCTGTAACTGCATAATCAATATAGTGGTATTTCTTGTTCCCATTCCGTCAGATGGCAAGGACTGGAATGACGCTTCTAATGCCGAACGATATTCAATGTAATGTACTATGTCTCTACCATCTCCTCCATCATATCCAGGCGAGAGTAATATTGATAAACTATTATAAGAACGATGAATTATATTCATGGATGTAGGTGAGTCGGGTACGCCTGTTAACATGAAAATGTGGCTTCACCATTACAATATATGTCGCATGTCCCATTCATGAATCCATGAACATGAATTACGAGAAGCTAAAAAGTATATAGTTTTGTAGTATAGGTTTAAATTTTAATTTACCATCATTAAATATGTATTGTATTGTAAATAATAAACATTTTCTAATTCATGAGAATGCAAGATTTATGAACTTTTTTTGTCAGAATTGAAAATAGAACACGGTTTCAAATATTACCCTTACCTGCATGATGTAAATTGACCTGAAGTACAACACTTCCAATGTCATTATGTGCGGTGATATTATATACGCCGAAATGGAGTTCCCTGACTTCGTTGATAAATACAGTACTCGTAGACAATGTATCTACTTTGTCAGTTAAAACTACGTCGTAATTTTTCCAATCGCCAAACGTAACAAGTAATGGGTTGGCCTTGACAGATACGTTCATGGATATCGAATCACCGATTCCACTATAGAAGTCTGTAATACCATTTGTCACAGGTACATCTATATAAGAAATTAGTGCGCTAACCCATTAAAGACTCTTCCATAGATTGTGAACGCATTATATTATAACATTACCTTCACGAATGCAAAGTTGCAATACTAACATTTGTATATACAAATATATATATATAATCATCTTCTTTTACAATATTACTGACTCTAAATAACTCTCAATACACTACACATAAAAAAGGACTTGCAATACACAGTAACTGTAGCTGATTGCAGTTGTTGTTGATTACTGGTTGCCCTATACCATTACTAGCATAAAATGTATATATATATAATCATCTTCTCTTACAATATTACTAACACTAAATAACTCTCAATACAATACACTACACATACAACATTACTTACAATATACAATAACTCTAGCTGATGCATTATCTGGTTGTCCTACACCATTACTAGCATAACATGTATATATACCATCATCTTCTCTTACAATATTACTGATAGTCAATGATCCACCATTGAGACTGTATCTACCACCTATAATGATATCACCATCGTCTTTCCTCCATGTATATGTAATGATGTAGCTGGTTTACCATCAGTGGCTGTACATTGTAATGTCAATGAGATGCTGCCTTCAGTCACTGTCTCATCGGATGGTAAAGTGGTGATAGTTGGTGGATCTGTAATAAAGTACACATCATGCCTGTTTATTTTATTTT